ATGTAGTTTCCTATACATTTATGGCTCCCCTGCACTTCTATTAACCTAATTTCTGTAGTTTTACAACATAATTTATGTTTTTTTACCATTCTCAACGACTTTGAAGGACAAATCGAAGTCTGCAACAGAAACTTTATGCAACGGTAAGCTTGAAATTGACAATCAATTTCTTTTAGATTTGTTGCAGATTTAATAGTTTTTTTTTATTAATTATATTATTTTTCATACATGAATCACTAAAAATTTTTCTAATATCAGTGACGCTAAAATCGAAGAAACGTAATGCCATATGCGACAGATCGGAATTCTCATGTTTGATTACTTAAAATGGAGTTTGTAAATAAGCTTGTTATATAGATCTACAAATTCATGGTCGCACTATTTGTTGACTCGTAAATATTTATTTTCTATGAAATTTATTTTATCAGGGTTCACAACAAAGAAGAATCATTTTGTGCCGAAAAACATGAAATATTGTAGTCATCTACACCCAAAGTCAACTATAAAAACCAGGTAGTTCACTATATTGTTCCCAAAGTCAACTATACAAAATTAGATAGTCAACTATGTTTTTACGATATCAAGTATAAAAAATCGGTAATGAACTATAAAAAAATGGTAGTTAACTACGTTGTTGTCAGAGTCAACTACAAAAATTAGATTGTCAACTATAATTGTTCTGATGTCAACTATACAAAATTGGTAGCCAACAATAAAACTTTCATTAATTCAGTATATTATATTTCAATTTAAGATACCATGGTGTTCTAAAATTGAATATTGAAGATAAAAATCTCATCTCCGGTGAAAACATGACAATTTCATAGAGTAGAAAATACATTGATTTCAACGACTGAAGAATGAGATGTAGAAGAAAAGTTAAATTAGTGAGAATAAATAAAGAAAAATAAAGAGAAAAATAAAGAGAAAAATAAGAAACAAACGAGAAGAGAGGAAATGGGGGAAGAGAGAGAGAGAGAGAGAGAGAGAGAGAGAGAGAGAGAGAGAGAGAGAGAGAGAGAGAGAGAGAGAGAGAGAGAGAGAGAGATGAGTGGAAATAAAAGAAAAACACGTCAAAAGTGAACAATAAAAGAAAGAGAGAGAAATGAATGAAAAATATAAAATGTCGAATAAGAGAGAAATAAGGAGAAGAGAGAAAAAAACAGCAGAAAAATATGGACAAAAAAGGCATAATGGGCATTAATATAAGCTTAGGGGATCACACAATTCAGAAAATATTATATGAGTTTGTTTACACAGGGTCAATTATAAATTGGGCTCAGACTCTATTATTTTACCTATTGAGGGGGTTATCCCTTATTTTTCCTTTTCAAAACATAAGTTGTTGGAGAGAAAATAGGGAAAATTACAATTTATGTCCCTAAACTTTACCGCTAAAACGATATATGTCCTCAAACTTTTTCATCCACGATATATGTCCTCAAATTTGGAACTTTTTAATAATTTATGTTCTGCCGTCAACTTGGATGGAAATATCACGTGTAGCGCACGTGATGTCGATCTGGCTGACACCCCCGAGATGATGTGGTCGAAAAACATGACGTGGAGTGACATGTGGTTCTCTCCCTCTATTTCAATTTTAAAATTTCCAAATTGTTATTAAAATCCCCAACTTCTCATTCCCCTATTTCATTGAACCGAACGCAGAAACCCTAACTCCAAAATTGTACTCATATTCTACACTACAATACATAATTTGATTGAAATCGAAACTACCACCTCCCAAATTCCCAAAACAAAGTTCAAAGATATCAACTTTGAAGAAACTTACCAAAATCGAAAATCGTTGCTCTGTTGTGATGTTCCAGCTCCACAAACGTTTGAAATTTACGAAATTATGGCAGGGCAATCTTGTTGTTGCAGAATTTCACCTCAATTAGATGCTTCGTACAAAGAATTTAGGAGGTATGGTTTATGCATTCGCTTCAATAAAATAGTGGGAATGAAAAATTGAAAAAAATTAAAATTGAAATAGAGGGAAAACCACAAGTCACTCCACATAATTTTCTTTGCCACATCATCTCAGTGTGTCAGCCATACCGGCATGTAACATTCAAACCGAAATCACGTGCGCCATACGTGATATTTCCGTCCAAGCTGACTGACGGAGTTGGCGGCAGAATATAAGTTGTTAAAAAGTGGCAAGTTTGAGAACATAAATTGTTTTATTGGTAAGGTATAGGGGACATAAACTGTAATTTTTCCTGTGGAAATACGATTTTTTTTTTTTAAAGTACCTCTATCCAACCTTTTTATTTAAGATCTTATAATGAGTAAAAATAGTAGATAAACTCGTAACTCAAACACTTTAAATGTTAATTCTTTAAAAAAGATGTAATAGCTTATCAACTCTTAAAACACATTATTAAACATAAGAGCCGGCTCGCGAGCTGCCTTCTTTTTAGCCAAACGGATATTAAATTTGTATATATATATATATATATATATATATATATATATATATATATATATATATATATATATATATATATACTATTCTTATTCCTATTATTATTATTAGGGGCTCTTTGACATAAACCCCCATTACTTTTTTTAATGGGGATAGGCCCAAAATATTTTAGACCATTTGAGAAAAGCCTAATTTCAATTTCAGCTATTATGCTTTCCAGCTTTACTTCCGCCCGCCACCTCATCACTAGGTCACGCCCTCTGCGTTTTTTTTTTCCCCCATTTTTTTAATCGACTATAAAGCATAGTCGACTAATCTTAAATCGACTTTGCTTCATAGTCGATTAAGGAAATTCTTTATTTTTTAACTTTTTTTTTGTTTCCAATTTTGTTTTTAATTTTTTTTTTTTTAATTTTTTTCTCTATCAGGTTTATTAGTGGATAGTCAATTAAAAATTTAACTATTAAAAATAACTAATCACAATTACAAAAAAATACAAAATCAATTATATTTAAAAGCAAATACAAACATTGTAATTGATTTATACATTGGAATCAATAAACAAAAACTCAAAAAAAAAATTAACAACTAGAGTCGGTTAACCTTAATCGACTACTGAACATAGTCGATTAAGCCTTAATCGACTATTGAACATAGTCGATTATACCACGTAGTCGATTAAGGGTCATGCCTGCGCGAATTTTTTTTTTTGCGCCGTCTCCGCCACAATCCACGAAAAAACCCAAGATTTGTTCTTCATTGTCACCACGTCGTCGCCACACAAAAGCATCACCACCCCACTTCCATATTCTAACTGTTTTTTATCCAAACAATCAAAACAGAACCATGTACTACGATCAAAATCACCAAAACAAAGCCACCAACCAAAGTAGAACCACCACCCATCAAAATCCGATTCCAATCGACAATTTTACCTCTTTTCGCCGTCGATGTAGCAATCGTGGCATTCGAACTCAGAATCGCTATCAAATTAGAGTTCGATACGAGGTTTTCTTTTGATAGGCGCCGACGGTTAGACTCTATGCATTTCTTCATCTTGCGACGGCGGCGGCGGCGAGGAGAAGATTTGTCGGAGAAAGCAAAAAAAAAACAAAGAAGAAAGAACAGAGAATAGAGAAAAGGATAGAAACGAAAAACGAGAAAGGAAAATGGTAAATGAAAAATGAGATAGGGGTTTGAGAGAGTATAGTGAACAATTAAGGGTAGTTTTGGAATTATGAAAGTAGTATTTGGATGGAATATTAACTAGGGGGTTTTCTCTAATTATTTTTAGGAGGGGGTGTTTTCTTAACTACATTTCCTAGATGAAGAGGGTCTTGCTAATTATCCCTTATTATTATTATTATTAACTAAATAATAAATAGTCTATAATAATAAATATATCTAGTATTTAAATAGAAACAAATCTATATTACTTAAATAATTCATAATAATATAAAATATCATATTAATAATAATAGAAAAAATAAAAAATATATATAACTAGAGTTCATTATTTATTTTATAATTTTTTTTTATTTTCCTATGAATAATTTTGAATAAAAAATAAAATAATTTTAATAAAAAATTAAATAATAATAATAAAAAAAATTAAATAAGCTCGAGCTCGCCAAAATTGGCTCGAGCTCGTGCTCGAGCCAAAAAAAATTGGCTCGATGAGCTCGAGCTCGGCAACATGGACTCGAGCTCGAGCTCGAGCTGGCTAAAAGAGCCGAGCTCGGCTCGAGCTCGGCTCGTTCCCATCCCTAGTTGAGATACATGTGCTTCAAGTTAACTGTCGAGTCGTACCAAGATTGGTGCTAGGCGTTCTCGACTTATCCGAGGACTGACGATCTTATCCATGCGGGCGGTGTATTTAGCATTTATCAGGACAGGTATAAACTCACTTTTTTTTTCTTTTTTTTCTTTTTTTCTTTTTTCTGTAAAGTGTTGTGCGGTTGAAGATGAATGTTGTTTGATGAAGGTGCGATATTACATACATTTTACTCGAGATGGATAGAATCCTACGGCCAGAAGGGACGGTGATATTTAGAGATGTTGTCGAAGTGTTGGTGAAGATAAAGAGTATAACAGATGGAATGAGATGGAAGAGTAAGATAGTTGACCACGAAAGCGGACCGTTTAACGTCGAGAAAATTCTTTTGGCCACAAAGACTTACTGGACTGCTGAATTCAACCCTCAAGATAGCAGTGAGAATTTCGAGTCTTCAATAATTCACCTTAGATTTCTTGGAATTTTTTGTTTTTTGTTTTATTGTTTTTTTAGACAATTAGTTTGCTGGTAGAATGATTTTTTTGTCATGTTTCTAGAATAATTTCGTTTGCAACATTCATATTAAAAGCGCTTGAATCGTTCGATTAAATACAATTTTTACAACAAAATGTAATCGTGAACTAGGCCAAAATGCAAGATTGGCGACGAAAATAAGGCCATTGCAACGAAGTCTATGGCTTTGCACAAGATATGAGATGGAACAAATAAATCATCACAAGCTTAGTATATTCGAAAAAAAAACTTTTTTTTTCTCAGTTGCGACAAATTATAGCGTAAACATATTAAAATATCTATTTGATTATGCAAATAGAAGAAACAATTGTTTTTTACAAATGAAAATAAAGGCAACAATTCAAAGGTCAAGTTACAGAATAACCAATTCAATTTGCTGAGGTACTTGTTCTTTAAGGCGTTTCACAACTTGTTCCTTAATAAATTCCTCAGTGTATATTGGTTCAGAGCTATATAATCTATCGTAACGTGGCTCGATGATTACTTTCTCAAGCGCGACACATTTCTCAATCACGTTCTTGAGTACTTCAACCTGATTCGGGACACCACAATAGCCACAAAACTTGAACACTTTAAGCTGCTGGTGAATAAAACTTTGAACTTGAAGATGATGCCGGTGAGAAAATCTTTGAATATTATCGTATCGAATAAAATTAAACATCAAAGTATCCGGGTACTGCATCTGAAAAAAGAAAAGAAAATATGAGTGTGAGATTTTTCTTGAAAATTATTCACAAAAATCAAGTAGGAACATACGTTTAAAACGAATTCTCGCAAGTTGGGAGCCGCCTTCATCAAATTTGTCAGTCCCGTATCACTTGGGTATCTATTTCGAGAATCAAAAAGTTCATCGCCCATTACGAACACCACCAACTTCTTCAGTTTAGGGAGTTGAAGAATTGTGGGGAGAAATGTTTCCTGTGAAATCAACCAAGTAAATATTAATAAGCGCTACGGCATCTCTAATTCTAAATAAAAGAAAATAAAACACAATATAATTCTATCGTCTAACCTCAAACGATTTCATCTCCACCGTAAGAATCTCCAATTGGAAACCGCAGCAAGCAAAAGCAGAAAGTGCGACTGCGGTAGAAACTTGACTATATGCCCGACAAATAGATACCTCAACAAGCCTTGGGACATTCTCAAGGAAGAGGCTTTCTACTTTCTGAAGAGTAAGTGAGGTGAGATTCGGGGCGGTAATCTTAACCGATTTCAAACAACTCTCGCAGCCGTGAATAGAAAGTAAGGTGAGGTTTGGGGTGGAAACCTTAACCGATTTCAAATCGTAGCAGCGGGTTAACTCCAAGTGTTTCAAGACAAGGGATGGACCACCACAAACTTCAACATTTACTAATTTCAACGAGCGATCAACAACCAATTCTTCGAGCATCGGACATTTACTTTGGAAAAACTTCATATCTTCCTCTGTCACATCAACAGATTTCAAACACAATATTTTGAGGAACTTGAAGTCAATTTCGGAACTAGTATTTTGAGTGAGCAACTCTTGGGGTAAAGAACAATTAATTAGGCTCCAGTTGTCTGTGGTAAGATCCAACTCTAACCTCTGCACGTGCCTCACAATTGCAAAGTTAATCCATCGGTTAACGTCCTTCTGGAACGTTCTGCTCAACCTCAGACGGATTACGAAATCTTTCAAGATGGCGGCCTTGTGTTTTCTGAGGACGGAATTCACCCATTTCACGTACGTTTCCCTCTTCTCTTTGCATGATTCGAATCCTTGTTGAGTCCCTTTTTGTAAAGAAGAATGTGGATCAAAGTTGAGACGGTAAATATGTTTCCACAAGTTATGCCAGCGAGACGAGAGAACACTAGTGCATACGGCTTCCTTGAGCGACAATAAAGAAATTATATCGACGAGAATGTCGTCGGGCAAGTGACTTATCCGATCATCGTCGCCGTAAACTACCTCGACACGCTATAGGGAAAGAAAAAAAAAAGAAAGATATATAAGTTATAACACTCCGGGGCTTTTGTGATTCTACATCCGGTGAAATACACCATATAATCACACACCATAGATCTGCACACAAACTGTTTACGGTCCAATTTTGAGAAGGCATGAAGAAACGGCATAACACAAGAAGACACGTATGCGGTTAGATGCTACATCTCGTTATTTACATTGGGTGGATTTGATCCGTTGATCTACATATTATCGAATGTGGCCCAATTCTGCCATGGGCATAATCACAAACCCATTCATATGTATATTACAGATTGAAGAAACAAATAGTAGCAATCAAGGAATAAATAATTCTGATAATTCCCCAAAAAGAAACACTCAATCGGTTCAGATTGAAGAAAAAGAAAAGAAAAAATAATTAATTAATTTGGTTTTTGGAGAGAACTCACCTTCTTGGTTTGAAACTTGGCGACTCGCTTCCCTCCCATCTTGATTCGATCTTTCGGATAATTAAAATTATTGAATTATTTACTCAGTGAGTCATAATAATAATTATTTATTTAGTGAATCACAACTGTTGGACTCCGATTAGGACTCTGTTTCCGAAAAAACATGGAAATTCTGTTTCCATGTGTAAATTTGTATATTTTAATAAATTCGTTTTTTATTTTAATATTTTTAAATTCGTTTTTTTATTTTCAACTCTGCTAACATATTCTTGGTTAGGGTGAAAGTCGGATGGATCGGATCGGATCGGAATCACCATTTTCGGAAAATTTCCAAAAAGTTTCGGAAGTATAAAATCAATTTCAATTTCAATTCCGAAATTTTCGAAATCTAAAAATTCATTCTAATTCCAAAAGGTTCGGAAATTTCGGAATTTCGGAAAAAAATCGGAAATCACATAAGCTTAAAAATTTCAAAACTTAGTGAAATTTTTCTAAAATGTTCATAATTTTACAAAAATAAGAACATCCACGTCGATGAACGTAAAACTAATAGCTACTAAATTTCAGTTCAAAAAATAAATAAAAATAAACACAACGTAATATCTAATAAAACTTCTAACAACAATTCATTATGTCAAAATCCAAACAAAAAATTATAGGTGTATTTTTCGGAAAAATAAATATTATATAATATTTATTATTTATAGTTGTATTTTCGGAAAAAAATCGGAATTTTTCGGAATTAATTTCGGAAATCAAATCGGATCGGAAATCGGAAATTCCAAATTTATTTTATATAATTCCAATTCCAATCTAAAAAAATCAGAAAAAAATTCGGAAATCGGAATTTCGGAAGTCAGAATGGAAAAACTTGTTCAAAACTTTTCGGATCGGAACCGGTGAAAATTGGAATTTTCGTTCCAACTTGCACCCCTAATTCTTGGTATCATCTAGGAAAAAAAACTATTTTTTGGTATTGTCTCATTTGAAATTTTATCGTACTTTAAATTTAATAACTATATTTTTTATTAATACAATTTTTTCAAGACATGTTGGAATCTTTTTACAATTATTCTATTATAAGTTATGAGTTATAACTATGAGTTTTTGCAGTTTTGTATGATATTAATTTAAGAGAAAATACTAGTAGAATTTTAAAGATGAGCTTACACTTAGGGCTCGTTCGGTTACCGCTATAAGGTTCTATTGACTAAATAGTAGGGGCTAATAACATGTTCGGTTGGCAAGATTCACATTTTTTCGAACCCGCTACTAAATCAAAGCCCACTATTAAATGCTACTATTTCATTAAATTAGTAGCACCCCCTGTGATTAATTTTATAGGGGGGCGACTAAAAAGGAAAATACAATTTTATCCTTAAAATCATATTTTATTATTGTAAACTAAGTCGTTTTATAGACAATTCATATATAATAACTGATTTTAACAAATTTAATAGAAAATCTAATCTAAAAAACCGAACATGCTGCTAATTAAATAATTAATTAGTCAGTAGGACGTTAATCCAATCTCATGTAATCCAATATAGATAATCGAACGAGCCCTTAGTAGTATATTCAAGTGAATGTTTGTCGTTCTACAATCACATTATAGTGGAAGAGAATATTTATTAGAATGGTCATTTAATTGTTACTATACACAAATGAAATAATTGTTAATCAATTATTAATATCAATAAATTATGTGGGCAATGGGATATATCAATGTGTGAGAAGAAAGTGTGCTTAATGATTAAACAGATTAGTCCATAGATTAAAAAAGTTGATTTCAACAAACTCGAGGATAAAATAATCACTACATATTTAAAAAATACTCAAGAAAATTATAAAAATAAATACAGTAAAAAGTGATGGATTGATAGTTTAAAAAAAAGAAATCTATCCTCATTAATAATTAATTATAGAGTTTTCTTAGAAAATTATAGCTAATTTTGCCAAAATTTATATTCATGGAAATAGAAACTCGTTTGGATTTCTTTCCATGCTTAAATTTGTAGCGGTGGAAATCAGAATGGTATTTCTGAATTCTGCCAATTCCGATTCGAAAATATTCGAATTTGAAACTATACTTTTCATCCCAATTTCCGAAGTTCCAATTTCGGATTCTTTCGAATTTATTTGGAATGGTATATAAAATTATCGAAAATTCCGATTTCCAATTCGATTTTAATTCCAAATATTTCTATGGACTTTCAAAATATATAGTATAATTTTATGATATATTTTATAATTCAATAATATTACTTATGTTACATTTTATCGGAAAAATATAAATACCAAATGGTTAAGCAAATTAAAACCCTATAAAATATTAGTGGGTATCAAAAAATTTATGTTGTATTTTTCCTTATAAGAAAATCTATGTCTCAATTTGTTATTCCCACATTTGTTTTTATTTATTGCATTTTGTCAAACTCTCTTTTGAGTTTTCTTGCATTTTCCTGCACAAAAAAAAAAAAAAAGATAGAAAAATATTGTGAAAGTATTCATTATATCCGAATTTGGAACAATAGATTACAAACTAATGTAATTTCTCAAAATTCCGTCGGTTCCGAGGTATTCCAAAATCGGAATGAATTTTTGCATTCCGATTTGGGTAAATCGGAATTATTTTTTGCCTAACTTCATACCATAAGGGGGTCATGTGCAGAATTTCAAAACCACAAGGGGGTTATATGCCTAAATTCATACCATAAGGAGGTCATGTGCAAAATATCCAAACCACAAGGGGTTTACGTGCCTAATTTCATACCATAAAGGGGTCATGTGCAAAATGTCCAAACCACAAGGTGGTTAAGTGCTATTTACCCTTCCGATTTTTTGGAACGAAAATTGGAACTCATATTTTTACTTCCAAAAATTATGAAAATTTTTCGAAAAAGTCATTTTCAATCCATTCCTTCTGAAATAGTAATATTAGCATGAGAGAGTAATATTACGGTCGAAGCCAGCAAAATTGCAGGCCAAGACGATAAAATTAATTAATACAGTAAAACTACTGATTCATACAGTAATTATTGTCTCACACAGTTAAATTACTGTCGAAGTCAGTAATATTGCAGGCCAAGACAATAATATTAATTAAAATAATTATTATAAAGAATAAACAAATTTAAAAAAAAAAAAAATCAACGCCGGAGACTAGCTGTTGACCTGCCGAAGAAAAAAACACATTCAGAAGAAAAAAAAAATTAAAAAAAACAGAATGTCAACGCCGGAGACCAGCGGTTGACCTGTCAGGAAAAAAAAGTTATAAAAAAAAAGAAAAGAAAAAGAACCGGCGATTAACGGCGGCTGACCGGCGGTCTCCAACGGTGGCGGTCAAAATTGGTGTCAAAATTGGGGTCAAAATTGTCTAATGTGTGAAATTGGGCTAAACTGTGGTGTAAATCATAAAATTGAAGTTGAATTAGGATTTCGAGGAGTTGGGGATAATTTTGGTATGGGATGTGATAAATGTCGTTCGAGCTTTAATAATACTGTTTCGACTTCAAACGTGATTTTCATCATTTTTAATTCCAAATTTTGCAAAACCTGATAAATAGAATTTGTAGTATTCTGAGTTAGTTTTCTAATACAACTTGAATCACCAAAATTGGATGTCAGACGAGAAAGATATACATGAATCAATGGATACTGCCCATAATTTTGATGTATTGCGGTATCTAAAATTCAAAATGTGACTCATTCATGCATAACTTTTTCACACGGTATCCAATCTAGTGGATTTAAGTTGGATTAGAAAGTTAACCCAAAACACTACAGTTTTCGTGTTTCGAATTTTGCCAAAATCAAAATAGAAATATGTCAAAATCAAGTTCGAAGTCAAAACGACATTAGTAAAATTGAAATGACATTTAACATTTCAGTTTTGGTATATATAAAAGTGTTTTCCTTATTTGCAAATAAGTTTAAATAAAGTGGATTTATATGCAAGATAAAAAGTTGGAAATCCCCCTTTTTAATAGGGATTATTTCACAAAACCCACTCGTCACGTAACTCCAATTACAATCAGCCCAAATTTATTTCTTATTTTTATGATAAATCCAAAACATCTTTTATTAATAAAAATTAATTAAGTATCACAATTATACCCTTAGATTTATTATAACGTATCTTAGTGTTGAATATAACAACATAAATAAACGTGTATCTCTTTTTTCTCTCAGATTTGATTTTCTGCCCTTTTTTTTTCACCCCACCGGCGCCGCCTCTTTCTTCTATCCCCACCGGCGCCGCCCCAGCCTCAATGCACCTGGCGCCGCCCCTGCCCCCTTTCGGCGCCGCCTCAGCCCCCATCCCTATTTCTCTCTCTTCAGCGTAAACGATGGATATCTAAGCGGTGGTAGAAGAAAAGGTAATTTTTTTTTTTTCAATCCTCTTTCAATGGTTTTAGGATTTGTGAGGAGCAGTCCCTATTTAATAACGATATTGTGGGAAAAAACTATTAATTCTTATAAATTAATATTTTTGAACAAGATGATTATTATATTAATATTTTATGTACATGTTTCTGAAAATTTTGGGGCGAACAAGATGATTTTATATATATATATATATATATATATATATATATATATATATATATATATAATCATCTTCCGCATTGCTTCATGGATAATATTTTTTAATACAATTTTGGCATCAGGACTATATAGTCATGGATGTATCCATGACTAGCTCCATAAAGTAGTCATATTAATGCTATATTATATAAATCTGTTGAAACGGAAAACGAATGAGGAAACAATAATTATAATTAAAAGGAATGATAGTGGTGATAAATTACATATTAGTAGGTGTTGGTCGAAAACCTACACGCAAGTGCACGTATCGTACAAGTAATATAGTGGACAATTAAGTCCGGATATCGAACCCACAGGGAATATTTAATTACTTAATCCTAGACGCTAAATTCTACCAATTATTATCAAGCCCACCCTACACAGTCGAGTTTTGAGAGAATAAACTAAATTAAACTAAATTAAAAACAAACAAAAACAAGAAAGCAATTAAAAACGAAGATTTAATCAAAGTAGACAAGCCTAGGATTTTATTCTTCCCCCTATGTGATTATTACTCCCCCAATTCCCTCAATTATGCAAGCAATTAACCCGGATTATTAACCTGAGATGCTAAAATAATCATAACCCGCTTCCGCGTGTATTACGATTCTAATACTCTAGATTCAATTACT